CATCATCATCTTGTCCAGAAGAGCCACTGTTAGAATCATTAGCCTTTAAGGCTACAATTTTCTCTTTTCTTGTTTAACCTGCATTAATTTGCCTTTAACTTAATCCTTGCTCATACGTAATGAGTGATTAAATAAGTTATCTATAGAATAAATATTTAGATCTTTAGATTCAGCAATGACAATTATTTTTTCATCATAAGAAGACGTTAAACAACAAAGAATTTTTGTTAACATTTTTATAGTTTGTAAGTTATTTTCCTAAGACATGCAGAGAAGTAACAATTTGTATAAACCTAGTATATATTTTAGAAATTAATTTGTTAGGTTTAATACAAAAAAGTTCATAACCATGAAGCGGAATGTTTAGCCTAGATTGTTTAACTTCCTTTATTCCTCTATATGTAATGCATTGTTTGTCCAAAATCTCTTTACCAGTTGAATAAGTGGAAACACACATAAAATATTTTAAAGCATAAAAAAATAATTCTAATATTTGGCATTTAGTTAGGCTAAATCTCTATCATCACTAGTCAATTCAGAAAAAAGAATTTTAGTTTTAATACCATTTATTAAACATGAAGGTACAAAGTAACCATCCTAAACTAACATCCACATGCAATAATCAATTGATTGTAAAAAGGTGGACATGCGATATTTCCAAAAATTAAAAGAATGTTATCAAATAGAGGTGATTTAGTGATTGAGTATCCTTCCGCAGTGTTATGATTTCCAAAGTTAGCAATATATTTTTTTCAATAGATTTCTAAAACTTAATTTATAAATCCTGCTCTGATACTACTTGTAATTTTGTAAGGGTTGTTAAACCCTAAAGAATTAGTCTCAAGGCTAACCAAGATGGGGGTGAATTAGTTATTTAAAAATTTCTTTAATGAAAATAGAAAATCTTTTTAAATATTTTAAAATAAATGATTTATGTGAAAGCAATATTAATTTCATAATAACAAAAAATTAGAGATTTTGACCACAAAGTAAATCATAGAATAATACAAAAATTAAATGTGAAAAAGTAACTAGAAATAATACATCAGATTTATAGTGATTTGGTCAACTTGGCCTACGTCCACTCCCCAGAAACCTCCTTTCCATGTATTACATTAAAATTAGTGTCTCACGTTTTACCCCCACAGTACGGCGGAGAAGCCCTTACAAAATCTTTCCACCAACCCGATGAGGCAAAGTACGTTGAATCCTTACTCCCTCCTAAAGTAGGCAGAGAACCTTGGAATCCTTTTATTCCCTCCTAGAGTAGGCAAAGAACATTGGAATCCTTTTAGTCCCTCATTGAGTAGGTAGAGAACCTTGTATTTGATGCTGATAAAGATCTCCCTTAGAGCTACTAAGGAACCAGGACAACAACTTGAAGAAGAAGATGAACACCTTACTTGGAGTAACCTTTGTGAATCCCTCACAACTCCTCCCCCCCCCCCTGCGCATAAGGATCTCTCTCTCTCAAACTCTCATACTTCCTTCTCTAAGCACTCTCTCATATCTCCTCCATATCAAAATATTTTCTTAAGAGACAATAAGAGAGCTTAAATAGAGAGCCTCAAAAGAAGCCCTAATTTTAAACTTGCAATCAAAGATCATCCAGTACAATTGATATATAATCTTGTATGATTAGTAAAAAAAATTCCTTTTAAACAGTATGATCAGTCTTTCCCTTTATGATCAGTTCAAGTATTTGTACAGATCGTTTAATATAATTCTACAATCATCCGGGATGATTAGTTCAAGATATTGTATTAATGATCCAATATTACATGGGATGATGGGTGGAAATCTACTTATCATCTTGCAACCCTCTCGAGACATCCAGTACGATATCATGGATGATTAGAAGAAAATTATGGTTTTCACCTTGGATAATAAGGGATCGTCCTATGAAATGTAATAGATCATTTAGTATGATTTAAGTAGATCATCCCTATACGATATGATTGAGTAATCTAACCATAATTATAGGATTAATTTAGGCATGATTGTCATAAATCATCCAGGATGATGCATGTCATCCTGTACGATTAAAATAAAATTTGAAAATTAAAATATTACATAAATTATGATTTGTGGCTATTTTTCACAATCTAAACTGATCATCTTGTATGATACTAATCAGACATTATGATTTGCTTAATCACTCTTAATTTTCAGGAATGCCCTAAAAAGGATTTTTGTTTTTAACTTATAATCTAGTATGATTAAAATCATCCTATATGATTAGGCAGGTCAAAAAAATAGAAATTTCTCTAACTCACCAAATCACTCCCCTTGAGTGTATGTGTGTGTAAAAGGTTACTTAGCTTGAGATCCACCAGATACATGTCTTGACTCAAAAAAGATAAAAAATACATTGAAATTGAAATTATAGATAGACTCAACCATAGTATACCTGATCTTTAGTTTATTAGCGTTACAAGTGAACTTGTGGACCTGAAAGGTTAGTGAGAAGGGAAAACAAAATAGATATGCAAGAATAGCAGTAGTAAACTAACAATAATGTTTGTTATCATCAAAATAACTATACATGGAACCAGATTTACAATAGAGATTTCATAAATTATGACCATTTATGCAAATTATCTTGTTAAGTAAATTGGTAGATTTTGAACATGAAAATCTATGCTAGTTATTTTCATTATTATCATGTGAAAATGTTAGCGCCTTAATATCGTAGCAAATGTTGTTATGTGCTTCACATATAAATTTGCAAGTATTGTTACTTCATGTTATACATCTAAATCATTCATACATCTTCATATTATTTCATTTTGTATAACATGGTGAAAAGGAGGTTTGAAGGGAATTGAAGGCAGTATATGTGAGATGATATGGTTATGTGGAATTATTGTCTTCCCTTTATCCTTATGAAATATGAGACATAAATGTAGAGTTATAAGCAGGACTATCAGTATGTATGACAGATGAGAGATAAATGTGAAATTATTATCCTCCATTTGTTATTATAAAAGATGAGAGATAAATGTAGAGTTATAAGTAGGCTTATCCTCCATCTGCATGTGTGATGGATGAAGATGAATGTGGAGCTATAATTAAGCTTGTGGATAGAGAAAAAGGAATTTGGAGAAATTGATTTTCATTCTTACATTGCATAAATCATGCAAATATGAATCATTAAAATCATGTTATGTGAGCCATTATAAGAAATAAGCAATCTTCATAGTGAGTTAAGCAATAATAGTGTTATACTAGATTCTATAATAAAATGAGAGAATGTACAATGTGAAACTAATATGACAGAATGATATGAAAACTCTAATGACAGAAATATTCTCTACTATAAGTTGTGTTATATGTAATGGATGCCATTTTTATATGATGAACATGTTCACTAAAATATTTATTCACGCATTATGAAAAATCTAATGATAGAAATGTTCTCTACTATAAGTCACGTTATATGTAATGGATGACATTTTTATATGATGTACATGTTCACTAAAATATTTATATATGCATTGTTTCTTCTTCATATATGATGAATTTTGATGCAAGTTATTATAGAATATAAATTGAATGTTTTCATGAGTTTTTAGTGGTATTTTTAGCAATACAATTGCTCACTGTAGTTGTTGGCTTACATTTCCGAAAAAGGGAAAGAAGTTATTGGATAGATTCAAATAAATGATATCGTATCAGCATGTAAATTTGTTGTTTTATGTTTATTCCACTTAATCCTGTAATAGATGTTATTTTTTGGATGTGGAATGTTAAAAGGGTTTTACAATAGCAAATTTGTAATATGAACTATTTTGGATAGAATAAAAATATGATATTATTATATTTATCTTTCTTTAGTGTCTCTATATAAAACGAAATTTTTGGTCCTATTATTAATACATCGATCGAGATTATGAGTCATCACAGGTTGCGTCATCACGACGAGGGAAATGGGTCATGTAACCCTAAAAAAGACGACAAAATCCAAGCAAAATTTATACTTTGGGCGTTAAGCATTACTACACCTTTGTGTTTATTTCTCATGGCAATGCTTGTATCATCAAAGAGAGTAGACCTAAATAAATATAGAATGAGTTTGATAAAGTCAAGATAAAAGATCATATAGAAATTAATAATTGTTGGGGAGAAGAGAAGATGGACATGAAAATCCTCCCACCAATGATCAGGTTGAGGGCGGATGGACTACAAGGGATGAAAAAAATAAAAAGGAATCTCACCTTCATAATGAACAGAAATGTCATGTTATCCTAAGAGAGAAGAGGCAAACCCTACCTGATATTATAATTTAAACTTCTTTAAATTACTAGCCCCCCTTAGATCTGATCTTATGATGTTGTTTGTATAGGTTGCACATAATAGACCTAAAAAAATAGAAAATAATAGAAATGAAATCAGGATCAAATATAAGGAAATTAAAATTGAGAATACATGACAATTCGAAAATATATTAATAAAATTAGGGTGTCAATATTTGGCACGACACAAAAATCCAATCCTAATTCGACCCGAAAATTTTAGGTTCAAGTCAACTCAAACCTGAAATGGGTCAGGTTCGGGTGAGGAATTTCAACCTATTTATAAAACTGGGTCAGGTTCGGGTTGTGTCGAAAATTCGAAATCAACATGATTTAATACATTTTTAATTAATTTAGGATGATTTTAAAATATTATAATGAAATAAGTAAATATTTTTTTTCAAAAAATAATAAATCATGATACCCAAATTGAATTTCTTTTAAATTGACTGATGTAAATCTTATCATAATTCGATTTAGGTTTAAAAAAATCGAATTAAATAAAAAAATTTATAGTAAAACATATCTGAAGTGGGTGGAGTTCGGGTTGATCCGGACCCGAAGTAGATCGGGTTTGAGTTCGAAAAATCGGGTCGAATAGTGCCAGGTCAGTTCCGGATTGGACCCGAACTCGACCCGCGACTCAATTTTAAGAGCCCTAAATAAAATGGTAAGACATACTAATGGCTAGTATAATAATAATGATAATAATAATAATAATAATAACAATATAATAAGCATAGGATATCATTCAGGTCGTGTTGATACACATTTGACACAAGTTTTATCACAAAGATCCGATAGAAGTCCTTTCTCACTGCCCATTATTATTCATGGACTGCTAATTGACAATTAAAAAAAAAAAAGTAATATGGTCCATCAAACAGCAGATAGAAACATCCGTCCATGAAGAACTTGGTCTCCTCAAGCTCATCGTGAGTTAGCAGCGATAGGCGGGCTGCTCGCAGAGGCGCCGGCGAAGTTCTGCTGCTCCACATCCCCACCTTGCTGCCAAGCCCAAACAATGTCCTGCAACGACGGCTTCAACCCCTTATCACAGAACTGCTGGAACTCAAGCGTATCCCCTGCGGACTTCTTCACCTCAACAAAATGAAAAGACGGGGTCACCTCAAATATCTCCGCATCAATCGCCAACAGTCCCTTCCTCCCTTCCTTTCTCCCTTCTAATTTCACCTTCCCATCCTTCTTACTCACCCTAAAACTCCCCGTCTGCGCAATCTCCTCCAACCTTGACACAATCGCAGCCGCCGGCTTCTGAGTCGTAAACCTCGCCTCCGCCGCAATTCCCCTCTTCCCACACCCTTCAAACAACCCCGACAAATCAAACCCCTTTGACAACGATATGATATCAAATGCATTTAGACTGGTTGGTTTCATCGAGAAAGCCGCGTCCACGACACCCGCCGGGTCGTCGTTCGCTTCGACCGGCTTAAGCCCCTTCTTAAACCAGGGGGATTCGACGAGTTTAGGGATTGTGATGCGGGTATTAGGGTTAGGATCAAGGAGGCGGACAATTAGCTTGCGGGCATCGGGAGGGAACCAATTAGGGCATCGGAAGTCGGCTTTTGACATTTTGCGGTACATTACCATGAGATTGGAGTCGTGGAAAGGGAGGAATCCGGCGAGGAGGACGAAGAGAATAATGCCGCACGACCAGATGTCGGCTTTGGGGCCATCGTAGCCGCGTTTGTTGATGACTTCCGGGGCGACGTAGGCGGGGGTGCCGCAGGTGGTGTGGAGTAGGCCGTCCTGACGGCGATTGTCGACGAGGGCGCTGAGGCCGAAGTCGGTGATTTTGAGGTCGCCATTTTCATCAAGGAGAAGGTTTTCGGGTTTTAGGTCGCGGTGGTAGACGCCGCGGCTGTGGCAGAAGTCGACGGCGCTGATTATTTGCTGAAAGTAGCGTCGAGCTGCGTCCTCCTTGAGCCGGCCGCGGGCGATCTGAAGGCAAAAATATGATAAGGTTTTTTTTTTTTTTTTTTTTTTTTTTTAAGTTATAAAAAACGAGAGAGAGAGAGAGTTATATTTTAAAATAAATATAATAGTTATAATATTTAAATTTAAACTTTTTATGTTATAAAATAATTTTTGTACCGGCCTATTTTTCAAGTTTTCAAATATTTAAAGTTTAAAAAATATCTATTAAATTTTTTAAATTTCAAAATTATAAAAAATATGTATTAAAATTTTAATAGTTATATATATTAAATATTAAGTGTTGAATTATTTTTCTATATAAGCTAAAAAAATTATATTTCTTAAAATAAATATAATAGTTATAATAATTCATAATTAATTTTATTAAAATTTAAAATAATAATTCCACAGTTACTTAAAAAATTAAATTAATTAAAAAAAATCAAAATTATATATATATTAATAACTTTAAAATTTTAATATTAAAATTTAAGTAATTAAATACTATTAAATTTTAATATATATTTTTTATAACTTTGAAATTTGAAAAACTTTTAATGATATTTGTAATCAATTTAAAATTTGGAAAACTTTAAATCCTTTATAGGCAGTACAAAAAATAATATGATAATTTATAATTTATTTAAAATAAAATATGCATTTTCATTGAGGTAATTTAAAACAAAAAATGGCATAATTAAATATAAAATCTATTACTTGCACATAAACCAGAAAAAAAAATTGTATCAAGATATTTTGATGTAAAATATATGATAATTGATATATCATAAAAAAATTATATTGATCGGGCACGAATCTCAAGACAAAATAAAGTTGGAAATTTCAAAAAGTAAATAGGAGACCATCTAAACTCCAATTTCAGCAAACTTAAAGTCGAATTGAATGTTTCGAAAATACAAACCCAACGACATCAAATTCGACTCAATTCGAGCCCAAATGTGTCCAAATCAAAGACACGAAATGCATTCAGAAGGTTCAAATCATAATTTGGATTCCCAAATATTTTTCAAACATGAAATGCTTATAGTCAAATCAAACGGCTTGATGAGAAGAATCTAACGAGCTCAATATCATCAAATTCTAATATCATTAAGACATTCAAATGTCCAAAAAATAGTCCATGGTCGAAGGATTCAACATCGAGTATCCATTCAAACCACTCCCAATTTTTTTTTGATCTTCATCCTATTTCGACCACCGATCGACTCTAAATTTCCGCCCATCGCAGGATTTCTTCATGCGTCATACTTCCTTCTATCGATGGACTTCTACCCGACACCGATCTTCCGCCTATCGTTGGAATACTGCCCAATGCCAGATTTCTTCCAAACGCCAGACTTCTGTTTGTCGTTGGACTTCTACTTGACACTGAACTTTTGCCCGTCATTGGACCCAACCATTGCAAGACTTATGACCGTCATCAATCTTTCGTCGGACTTCTACCCAATGTCGAACTTCTGTAAGTCACCAAATTTTTATATAACACTGGACTTCCGCCATCAACGATCGATTCGACATCCATCGTCCGCTGACTATGGTCCTTCCAACCTCTGTTGTTAGACAACGGTCTTTGTAACTTCCGTCGCCCACCTACTATGGTCCTTTTGACCTTCATCACTCGTCGACAACGATCCTGCCGACCTGTGTCGCTAGAAAATGTTTCTTCTGACCTCAGCCGCCCACGGACTAGGACCCTTCTGACCTCTGTCGCCAGACAATGATCCTTCGGACCTCTCTCGCCTTCCAACTATGGTCTTTTCGACTTCCGTCACTAGATAATGTTCTTTCTGACCTCCCTACCAGGTATAGTCCTTCCGACCAAACAAACACATCAATAGTGATTCTTCCTATTTCCACCATGTAATACACTCCATATGATGTATATTTGTTACATTAAGCTAAGGCCTTCCCCCCAATGAAGAGCCACATTTGTAATCAATTGCAAATACTAGTGAATTCATTCAAACTGGGCTAGACCCCATGATTTTCCACCATTTTTAGGGGTTTTCTACGAAAAATCTTGGTGTCTCTTATAAATGTTGCAACCTCTCTTTTATCTGTATGCATGCTATATCTTCATATAAACTTAAGACAATTAAATTTTTTACTTCTCTAACATCATGAATATTCAAGGACGCAACAATTTGGCATCATATGTAGGAACATTGTTCCAAATTAGGGGGGTAATTTTTGCTCCAACCTCAAAAGATCATTCGTGTTAACGTCCTGGTATCAGTTATTATTGCATCAATTTCATGTGGATTAAATATAGACTGGGAGCAACCTTGACTATAGCCATGGTCAAGAGGATTCCTCCAACTCTTCTAATATCCCAGATAATATATTAGGATCATAAAACTTCTAGCAAATGCAATGTTACTTCAATAAATTTCAAACTTTATATAGCCCATATCTAAACTTTTACTCTTTTGGCAATGTCTTAATTTAGACTTCAAAAAGACAGTAACGATCTAAAGATATATTATTTTTTCTCATTTGAATCGAGATACACATGGCATTTACCCTCTCCCAATCAAGGAAAAATCAATCCAAGGGGTATTTAATTTGACCTCTTCCACATAGGTTAATGTCATCAAGCAATACTCTAATATACAACCTTAAATAGGTCATACATCCATGGTGAATTCTTTCAACCTCTTTCACATAGGTTAACGTCATCGAGAAGTACTCTAACAAACAATCTTGGATAGGTTATACATCATTGGAGGATTCTCTCGACCTCTTCTATATATGTTAACATTATTGAGTAGTGCTCTGACATAAAATCTCAGATAGGTCATAATCCTTGACGGATTTTCTTAACCTCTTCTACATAGATTAATATCATCGAGGAGTGTTGTGACATACAACCTCGGATAGGTCATTCATTCTTATTGAATTCTCTCGACCTCTTCCATATAGGTTAATATCATTGAGCAATACTCTGACATACAACCTCGGATAGGTCTTACATCATTGTCAGATTTTTTAGACCTCTTTCATATAGGTTAACATCATTAAGTGATACTCTGATATAAAACTTCATATAAGTCATACATCCTTAGCGGATTCTCTCAACCTCTTCCATATAAGTTAACATCATCGAGTGGTGCTCTGACATACAATCTCGAATAGGTCATACATCATTGGTGGATTTTTTTGATCTCTTTCATATAGGTTAACATCATCAAGCATCACTCTAACATTCAATCAAGTCATACATCCTTGGTGGATTCTCTTGATCTTTTCCTTAAACGTTAACGTCATTGACCGATGCTCTGACATACAACCTTAGATATGTCATATATCCTTAGTAGATTCTCTCGACCTCATCCATATATATTAACGTCATTGAGTAGTGCTCTGACATACAATCTTAGATAGGTCATACATTCTTGGTGGATTCTTTTAACCTCTTCCTTATTGGTTAATATTATCGAGCAATGCTCTCATATAAAGCCTCAAATTGGTCATATATCCTTGGTGGATTCTCTTGCCATCTTTAAGAAAGGTAAATATCATCGAGCAATGCTCTGGATAGACAACTTTCTCTCTAAAAAAAATTTATGAAAGTAAGTGGTTAATAAAATCATCACTTATATAAAAATCTTAGCAGGCTAAAAAGTCTTAAAAAGCACAAGAGGTAATATGTCAAAAATAATCTTAAATAGTGGAAAGCTTATGTTGCAACTCGGGCTTCTGAGTTTATGATTTTGATGATAACAAATAATAGTAATTAATCTTTTATTTCTCATAGTATTTGTAGTGCATATTTGTTTGTATGTTTACTAATATTTTAGGTATATTATGCATATTTCTTTGAATATTTAAGACTCAAGATTGTGTATAATTGCTAATATTAAATGAGTCTATAATTTTTATTTTTTGAATCAAGCCTTGTAATAATGCATGTTAGTTTGTTGATCCTGCACACACATAGAGGAAGCAAAAAATGTTTTTAAATATTTTAATTTTTTTGTACATCATATTATACGATCTAGTGTAACAAAAATTAATTAAAATATTTTATTTTACTAATTTTTTTAATATAACTAATCGTACTGTACGATCTGTTATAATTATAAAGCCTTCCATCCATTAAATTAGGCAAAAATTTGAATTTGAAAAGTTGTTCTAATCGTACTGTATGATCATGATAGTACTATACGATGTTTAAAAAATTGCCTAATTTAATCTTATGATTAGTTAATCAAAATGACTTAATTTTGATATTTTGATCGTACTGTACGAACTGGATCATAATGTACGATCAATAGAGATGATCTTGGCCATCCCATGCTTCATCCTAGATGAATTCTTTTTTTTTGAACTGTTCGCACAACACATCGTACAATACGAACATGCAATTGAACTATTTGTATAGTACTAACTGGACATCCTACAATACTAATAGGTCAATTTCTGCACATCGTACTGGATGATCTTGCGATCATACTGTACGATCTTTGATGGCTGAATTAAGTTTTTTACGATTTTTTGAGCCCTCTATTTAAGCACTCTCATAAGACTTTATAAGAGTTTTTGGTAGCCATTGAAGCTTCATTTTTATGGAGAAAAATTGGAGAGAGAACTTGAAAGGGAGAGAGAAAAGGGTGGAGTTTGAGAGAGGGAGAAGATCCTTGGAGGGGGTTTCAAGAGTGTGTGAAGGAGATTTCACACGGTTGCTTCGACGATCTTGCATCTCAACCATCAGATTCAAGGTTCGTCTTGAGGAAAGTTTTAGGAAGAAGAAGATCTCTTTGGTGTTAAAGAACCCAGCTCATCCGCCGCACCGGGAAAGATGGAAGTGATTTTGTAAGGGCTTCTCTGCCTTGCCGAGGGAAAAAAAGCGAATCACTAAAGGCTTAGTGTAATACTCGGAGGGTGCCTCCAGGGGGTGGACATAGGTCATGGTTTGACCGAACCACTATAAATCAGTGTGTTCTTTGCTTTATTATTTCTGCACTTTATTTCTACATTCATTTTTATTGTGATTAATTGTATGGGTGAAATTGATAATTTATCTTTTTATCATGAATGTAATTCACTTCTGCATAAAGTAATAAAAAGATATTTATTCTCATTAAAGAAGCTTTTAATCATCCAATTCACCCCCCTCTTGGTGCATCTCTTAATTTTCAGCTTCTACTATAAAAAGAAAAGCACAATAGAGGAAAAAGGAAGGAGGAGAAAGCTCCTTCTATATAAAAGGGGCACTGAAGCTTAATAGGGGATGTCGTCTATCTTAGAAAGCTGTAGGCCTTTAATGTAAGAAGAAGAACACATGAGAAGAAAAAAAAAGGAGAAGAAAGCTACTTCTATATAAAAGAGGGCCATGAAAGCTTAATAGGGGATGCCTCCTATCTTAGATAGTAAAATGTCTATAATGTAAGAAGAATATCAGATGAGAAGAAAAAAGAAAGGAGGGGAAAGCTCCTTTTATACAAAAGAGGGTCATTGATGCTTGATAGGAAATGCCATCTATCTCAAATAATGGAATACCTCTAGTATAAGAATAAAGCCAAAGGAAAAGAGAATGGAATGAGAAAAAATTTCCTTCTACACAAAAGAGGAGCACTGAAATTTGATAGGGGATGCCGTGTATCTCAAACAGTGAAAATGCCTCTAATATAAGAGGAATACCATAATAGAAGAAAAAGGAAGACGAAAAATTCTAACTTTTACACAAGAGAGATGTACTAAATTTGAGTAGGGGATGCCACTAATAAAAAATAAAGGAAGAACTCAACTGTAAGAAAGTTAAAGGGAGAAGGGAGAACAGAGAAAGGTATAATTTTTCCCTTGCCCCAAAGGTAGTATTTATAATACAAAAATGGGGGAAAATAATTTGAAAATTGGGGGGAAATTTCACTCCCATTTTGTTAAAAGTTTTTTAAAATTTCTTCTAGAATTTTCTACAGATGTTTTGGGCCAAAATGTGGAATTTTTGAAATACTTAAAAAAAATGCAAGCATGCCCCACTTGAAAAAAAAAAATAGTGGACCTGCAAAAAAAAAAAAAAAAGGTGGATGGGGCAGCAAGGCCAACCCCATTATTTTAACAATTGGCAGCTATACCACCTCTAAAAAAAGTTAAAAAATTTAAGCGCAACTAGTGGTAACTGTCAGCTGGTTATAACTATATGACACCCAAACGTGAGTGCCTTTTTGTGTGCGGACACCGATCGGTTCAGCCGCCAAGACTTGTACGGATCTATTTTTTGGCCCGAAAAGTCAAAATCAGGCATTTTTATGATCATCGGAATCATTTTTCAATGTTTCAAACTCAATTTTGATACTTTTTGAGCTCAACGAAGCCTTTATAAGTAATTTCGGACACTTAAATATTTTAGTATGGCAAATTGCATCCAAAAATTGCCCCAAAAATATGACACATTTTTTTGGACTTTTAGAGTTTTAACGTCGGAAAATATGGGGCAAAAAATATATTACCAAAAAATTATCTTGATTGGACACAAATCTCGACCATCTGAACTCTAATTTCAATACACTTATGGTCGAACAGGACGTTTCGAAAATACAAACCTAACGACACCAAATTCAACTCAATCTGAGCCCAAATTGGATCTAAATCAAAGACCTGAAACACATTTTGAAGGTTCAAATCATATTTTGGATTATAAAACTATTTCAAAACATAACATGCTTATAGTCGAATTGAGCGGTTTGACGAGAAAAATCCAACGAGCTCAAGATCATCAAATTATGATATCATTAAGATATATAAATGTCTAGTAAACGATCCACAATCGTGGGATCCAACATCGGCCGTCCTTTCAAATCACTCTCAATTTATCATTGATCTTCCTTCTATTTAGTACAATGCCACTCTCATAAAACTATAAGTGTACGCCTCATTTCTCATGAGGGGGGGAGCAAGGAGCAGGAAGGGAGTCCAAGAAAGAAGAGAAAGAAGAGTTCTCTTGCCACCAGACTCCTTCTCGACCACCTCCCAGCCACCGATCGACTCCAGATTTTCGTCCTTCGCCAGATTTCTACCCAATGCCAGACTTCCGTCCGTCAATGTACTACTACCCGACACTAAAATTCCATATATCATCGGACTCTTACCATACCCCAGATTTATACCAAGCATCGAACCTCTGTCCATCGTCGGACTTTCATCAGATTTCTACCTGTCGCCAAACTTTTGTCAGACTTCTACACTATGTTGAACTTCCACCTGTCCGCAGACTTCTATCCATCATTGTACTTTTGTCAAACTTCTATCGGATGTCAAACTCCGCTGGTCACCAGATTTCTACCCGTCACATGGCTTCCATCCGTTAACAGTCCTTCCGACCTTTGTCACCTGCTGACTACGGTCCTTTCGACATCCATCACCAGAAAATGGACTTTATGACCCCCGTCTCCTGCCGACTACCGTCCTTCAGACCTTAGTCGCCTGCTGATTACGGTCCTTCCAACCTCTGTCGCTAGACAAGGATCCTTTCGATCTCCATCTCCAGTCGAGTATAGTCCTTTTGACCTCCATCACTAGATAGTGGTCTTTATAACCTCAGTCGCCCATCGACTACGATCCTTCTAGCCTCTATCGTCGGCCGACTACGATCCTTCTGACCTGCGTCGCTAGAAAATAACCCTTCCAACCTCCGTCGCCTGCCGACTATGATCTTTTCGACCTCCATGGCTAGACAAAGTTCTTTCTTGCCTCTGTCGCCTACCAACTATGGTCCTTCCGACCAAACGAACACATCAACTGTGATTCTTCCTGTTTCCACCATGTAACACACTTTGTATGATGTATATTTGTTACATCAAGCTAAGACCTTCCCCCTAATGAAGGGCATCATTTGTAATCAACTACAAACACTAATGGATTCATTCAAACTAGGCTAGACCTCGTGATTTTTCTCCCTAATCAAAGGTTTTCCACGTAAAAGAATCTTGGTGTCTCTTATAAATGTTGCACCCTCTCTTTTTATCTGTATACATGCTGGATCTTCGTACAAAGCTAAAACATTAAAATTTATACTTCTCTACTTATGTGAATATCCGAGGACACAACAAGAATAGACTTTAAAGTCTTTTCAATTTATATTGAGGTTAGTATTGCTTAAGATATCTCAAAATAAATAAATAAATATTGAGCCTAATCTGATGTATTTCGGGATAGTTAACATAATTATTTTCACGTAAATACCCCTTAAAAATACTTTTTGATTATTAAAAGTAAATAATAAATATTTCATTTTATTTTTTTTTTATCTTTAATATTTATTACCTTATATTAATTTCGTTGCCGCATTCCTACCTCAATAGAGAGAGAGAGAGAGAGAGAGAGAGAGAGAGAAAAGGCCAACCTTGTTGAAGAGCTCGCCCCCACGAACATACTCCATGGCAAAATAAATTTTGGTCTTACTCGCCATCACCTCGTAGAGCTGCACAACATTGGGGTGTCGCACCAGTCTCATAACCGAGATTTCCCTCTTAATCTGCTCAATCATCCCCACCCTCAATACCTTCTCCTTTTCAATTACCTTAATAGCAACGCTCTGCCCCGTCGTCAGGCTCCGTGCAAAGTACACCTTCGCAAAGGTTCCCTGCCCGAGCAGCCTCCCCATCTCATACCGCCGCATCAATATCCAATCTCCCTTCTTCTCTGTCGTCATAGTTACCGGCTAATTCATCTGCAATGAAACTCACAGAAGGGCTTTGCTGTTGAACAGTGAAGAGGAAGCATGAGATGGGTTTCGCATTGTCGTCGGGGAAGAGAGGAGGAATGCGGATGGAGAGGAAAGAGGAGTTAAGGTTAGGAATAGCGGTTCATTTATGGCCAAGGAGTAAATGATGGTTGGGCACGTTCAAAGATAGTATGGATGCTAGTTGTACTCATATGATTTGCTATTTATGGGCTTTGGTTTTTTTTTTTTCTTTTTTTCTTAGTTTTAGATTAAAAAAATGTTAAAACAATATTCTCCTGTTGATTAAGGTGATATATATATATATATATAATCATGTAAAGTTATGTTCTGTAAAAATGGCAAATTTAAGAGGACTAGAGTGGCCCTCCAAAAATTTTAAGATTACTTTTTTTATGAAATGTATTTTTATTCATATAAATATAATTTTAATTAAAAAAAAAATAAAGTGTGCTCCCTCTAAAATTTAAGGGTCCATGGTTATAGATATCATTTCAAAAATATTAATGATATTTTTAAATTAGTCAATTAGTGCTTGTAATATTGTCTTGATTTGACATGAATCTCGAGGCATGTTTGAGTTAAAAAAATTTAAAATTAAATTCAGGATCATATGAACTCTTATTTTAGCAACATTAAGTTGAACTGAACGTCTTAATGAGATGAATCCTACAACACCAAAATTAGTGTACTTCAGGCCCAAATGGATCTAAATCAAATGTTTGAAGTATTTTATATGACTAAATTATCTCTAAATGTGGCATGCTTATAACTGAATCGAGTGGCCCAATGAGAAAAATCCAATAAGCCCAAGATGGCTTGATTATGATATCATTTAAGCACATAAATGCTAAATAAACTATTTATAATTGAGGGAGTCAATATGAGCTGTCTGATTGAGTGCTCCAAATTTTTTCTTGATTTTCTCCATATTTATGGTGCTTACCACTCTCAAAATGTATCAATAGACCCTACTCCTTACATGAGAGCATGTGACGACTTAGCTACAAAGGGAAAAGTGCTATGGGCTTGAAGAATCCTAAAACTCCGCCTAAGTACCACTACCAGCATACCCTCACCATTCGGTCATCATTGTTAAACCGATGCCCGGTCGCCGTGAGACATCCTTTTAACTTCCATGGACAAATTTTTCCTAATTGACACCATTGGAACTTTCATCGACCGAATACCACTTTTGGACCCCCTCGTCTCGACAGTTGTGACCCAACATCCCCTATGATGCCCAAGATCTATGGAAGCATTGGGCTTAATCTTATAAGTAATTAACTCATCCACCAATTTCCAAAGATGCTAATATCCAAAGTATAAAAGAAGCATAATCAACTTTCACTTCATTAAAATATAATTACATAATTACTCATAAGCAGGAATGTTTATACACTGAAGCAAATAAACAGGATTACAAAATCGATACATTAAACTCAAAGATCTGAGAATCCTCCTATATACCTTATCTACTCCATTGGACATTTTCTTTTGCCTAAAATGTTACAAGAAATGGAATGATCTCAACTAGCATAGTAGACTCCCTATCTTGTCCATCACAAATATCAATAACCAGTTCAATTATTTAAAAGAAACGAATTAATGTATAAGCAAAATATAATTTTACTAAAGTTATAGTTTATATTTGATTTCAGAACTAACACTTATATTCATATAACCACTTTCACAGAAGTTCTCAAATTTAGTATAAAATACTTATTCTTACATATTCACTTGCATTTCATTTTCACCTTTCCATCAAAATTCATACATAAGATCAGAGTTTACTAATTCATGTTTCAGAATAGTTCTCAAACTTAACTCACTAGAACATTAACATGTGAAATGAAATAATTATAATACACATGTCCCAATGCATAATTTATCTCCACTCACTTATACCTCCCTCCACACATGAATATAGCAAGTTGGGTTAGAATCCCTCCCATATCTACATTAGGTGGATGGGGCAAAGAGAGGACTTACGATGTTACATAAACTGCCACATCTACTTTTAGCAAATGGGGTCATAATTTATCACACATCAATATCAAATAGATGGGGCCAGAAGAGTATACATAATAGAGAGTGTATTTTTTTTCACATTTCTAAATATCTCTAATGACATGTTATGTATAAAATGCAAATGCAATGTAAAAATAATTAATTTAGACATCCAATGCAATATTAAAAAGATGCATGAATTCCTAGTAAAAGCCATGTAACTTATAAAATAGAATACTCAATAAAATTTTTCTAATCAGTAGTAATTTTTTTGTAAAATTCGAGAAAAATACATCTTTATCTATACCTCCATGTTTCATTTTTCCTTTGACTACCACTAAGTAGGACCCACAATCTACTATCATAAAAATTCATGCCTTGCTCATCTACTTGCAACTCAAATCTCTTTCTTAACTTAATATGCTCTTTTAACCTCGCATATTCTTCATCTTCCTTCTAAGTTCCTTTAATTACATCCTATAATGAGGATGGGAGTATCATCTGAGAAATAACTCCAACAAGCATATCTGATGAAGTCATTATTTCTAACTCTAGCCTCTTAATTTTTTCTAATCAGTGCCTACTCAGAAGTAACTAAATTGGTTGTCACTCCTACAGATTTCTTGCATAAGGCATCATGAATCATATTCTCTCTACTAGGCTGATAAATAAAATCCATATCATAATCAATGATCAACTCCAGCCACCTTCTTTGCCTTAAATTTAGCTCCTTCTAGGTGAAAATATATTTTAGACTCTGGTGGTCAGCATAAATCTAACATCTGACACCATAAAGATAATGACACACTCTGAGATCAAAAATGAAAGAATTATCTATTTTATCATTTTTAATTATTTACAAAAGCTATAATACATTATTAATATAAATTAATCTATATCACACAACCATTAAATGCCATACATAAGGAAATATTTCATTATATTCATTAAACAAAATCATATTACAATAGCCAAGTGATCGCTAACAATCATTAATCAATCAAGGACTCCTAAATATAAAAAATAAAATAAAATATTGACCAAAATTAAAAGAACATGAGGATCGCATTTAGCTCACTCCAAATGGTCTTGATCCTTTCTTTGGCCTAAAATCAATAAAACAAAATAATGAGCTTATATAGCCTAGCAAAAATCCAAAAAATCAATAAAGCTTTCAATACATGATTTAAGTAATCAATATGCATTCTCTTCTCAAATAATAGAATTAATAGCAATCAATATCATCAATTCTCAATCATCACTCATACAAGTTAATATGATCAATAACAAAAAGTGTGAAATATTATAATTGATGGGGAAGGGGCTAAGGTGGAGTGTAATTATGAATTATAAAAATATATACTTAAGGCTCATTTCTTCCCTAAACAATGCTTATGTTTTTTATATAAATTAATAAAACTCACTTAATATATGCAAGTATACATGCTGAATCAAGCAATAAAGTTATAAAGTACAGTGTTGAACTTATGAGGAAATGTGCTTTCTAATAATCAACCACTACTGCTTACTCTAATCACAAAATTATCCTACTTTAATAAACATTTATGTTATGGAGAATTAATCACTAAATAAAATAATAAAATAATGGATACAATATTTGAATAAAGTGATTTAGATTGATAAATATAAATTGCATATCTTTCCTAATGAAATTCTTAATTTTGATGTAATTCAAAGCATATGCATCCCTAGATCTCTATCAAGCTTGTAGGGGTTAAAAGGATATCTACTGACCTCCTATAGTTATATCATCTCCATAAGAACCTAGCATGTTTTACATCTTATGACTAGGTATACAAACACACTATTCTAATATTCTTGGTTATTCTTACATTCCTCTATTAAGCCTATACATCACACTAGGTTTTAACAACACATATGGCCACTATATACATTAAATAAAGAGTGGAATAACTTTAAAAACATCTTTTAACTTTAGAGCACACAAATTTTTATTAGTGCAGAATATGTTTTTTACATCATCAATCCAAACTAAGGAATTAGTCATATATGAAAGAAAAGACAAGCAAACTCATTTCCACTGAAATCATAGAAGAAAGAAAATACAAGAGAAAAATATTGATATGAAGGTTCAATTAATCTCCTTTACACTTCTAATTTCTTTATGTATAGAATTGCTTTAACAAACATGGACTAACACTCTAATGATTGTATCAAATACTTTCCTGAATTCCCTTAGTTGTCACCCTAAGAGAGATTTAGAAAAGTATTCTAAAATGTATTGAAATTAAATAAGTGATTGAAATCTCTTACAAATATAACGAATCAACTAGTTATAGGAAAATACAAAGTAGGCAACTGGCACTTTGAAAGGATGGCACCGTTGCATCCAAAAATGAGCAAACACTGCTATATTATTATTTTGGCTCTGTCATGATAGTTACTAACATTGATCAATTACTTAGTGAACATTCATGTCGCTTCATTAACAACTCATGTCCTTGGGTAGTTACAACTGCCACATCGCGGTACAGATGTCTTTCAAATGTTGTAGCACCAAGATGGCTATTTTGGCACCGAGGCATGATAAATTATGATGTCGTGATGCTACGAAGCTTACTTTTTTATTATCATAGTGTTGTCCAACATAGTAGTTGGCAATACCATATCGATATTATGGTGCTCCGACGATGACTTTGATGGTGCTACAATGTTGTTTGGTCCAACACCACGAAGCTGGATGAAACTTAGAATTTTATGCTTTTTTCTTTATTTTTCTTGCACGACACAACTAAACAACACATTTTATTAGAAATATAGCACATTATTTTCAATTATCAAATTCTCTTCAGCTTTAACTCTTGCTTATCCTCAAGAAAACAAAAATATTACAATCTTGATTAAATGATTAACCAAAGTAAAAATTGATAATTAAAAATTACTAAAATATAGAATAATTTGTCACATTTTAGAACTAGTAAAAATGAATAAGATTATAATTTTGGTTTTAAGAAAACACTAACAATTACACTAATTAGTCATCCTTAAAATTGCTTAATTGGAATTCATAGGTTATAGACTTAATGATTAAATATTTAATTTTAAAGTGAAAGTTGTAGTTTAAGGATTAGATGTTAGTAGTTAAAATTGAAACTTTC